TTAATCTGAAAGTCGGCAATCTTAGTCTATTTAATTAGGTACTAAAAACTCGTTTATACCCATTTGCTATCCATTTGAGTCGTTTGATAAGTAGATCACAAAATCGAGAAAAAAGGTGGCATACAAAAATATTTTGCTGTTATTTAGAGATTTTGGAATTGAAGTTCACGCCAAACGGCTCAGTATTTTTGAAGGCCACTTTATTTTATTTTATTTTTTTTTTGAGTTGGTGTTAATATTATCCTACGATTCATGTTTTTTAAGAGATTCAATAATTCTATGAAAACGTGTATTATGATATATTCTAGAATTAACATGTATATGACTTTATATATATATATATATATATATATATATATATATATATATATATATGATTTTTATTTCCGTAAATTTGTTTTTAATCTAGAAAATTACTCAGGTTTAAGGAATTTGAGGCTCGAATTGTTAATTTTTTTAAAAAACTTGAATCTTAAGATAATATTAACACCAACTAAAAAAAAAAAAAAAGTGGCCTTCAAAACTACTGAGCCGTTTGGCGTGAACTTCAATTCCAAAATGTCTAAATAACAGCATAATATTTTTGAATGCCACCTTTTTTCTCTATTTTGTGATCTACTTATCTAACGACTCAAGTTACTTAATTACTCTAGTACTTAATTAAATAGACAAAGATTGCCCACTTCCAGATTGAAAACGCCCCAATTCCAAGAATTTCAGTGAATATAATAGTTTTAGTTTACGATGATATGAAGCTATTCACGAAGTTTCAGGCAGATGTTAATCATTTGATAAAAAGGGGTCTGTACCACGGACTATGAAAAGGTTGCTGCAACTGAGGTGGTGTGTGTATACTTGTCATAAATACATAATGTTTGTTTCGTATGAATTTTGATTTTCTTAATCTTGATTATATGGCCTCTACGGATCTTTAAACATGCAATTCGGATTCGAATTTTTTCATTATCGTGATAATTTCTCTCACTTCTTATTTCATATATTAGTAATATTCATTTTAGATTTAGTTGTGAATATGTCTTCGAAACTAGGAACGCGTCAATTTGCGATATTAACAATTTACAAAGATCATAATATGGTTATAAAATGTATGAATACTCTGTAGTAGTAAGAGAACTATTGAATTATTAAATTTTAATAAAATACTTAAGTTGTATTTCAAATGAAATATATGTAACAGCATTAAAAAGAACAATTTTACTTTAATCTTTATTTAAATAAAATAATTTGTAATAATAATTACTAAACCTAGAAGCTGTGTCAGCGATAAATAGTTGAAGCTCTGCCAAATTAAAGATGAGGGGGGGGAGGTGAAAACTGGGAAACTGTGGGTTTCCAGATCGCCCTCTATTTCCGGCACACGATTGACGTAAAGACTATATCCGGCGGCCTTAGATCTAGTCACCATTTTACTCTGTAAATACCAAGCTCAGATTTACCTTGTTTCCACTTCTTAAGTAAATACGACTATAATGGCGAAGTCTTTGCAAATAATCCCAAAACTAAATTAGTATAGTGTAATAATTTTTTATTAAAAAGAAAATAATTATTAACATTTTACTTTAAATTTATCGCCAAATACATATTATATTCTCTATATAAAAATTAATTTTCAAAAAATATGTTAAGGTCATTTAGACATCTATGTTGTTTTTCTCTTAGGAAGGTTCAATAAAAAAAAAATTGCAAATATAATGACAGTAATTTTTCTTTTCCTTCAAAACAAAAAAAGTGAACAACAATAACTTTTTGTTGAGAGTAAATTAGATTGAGCCGTCAGATCTATTATGTGTAACGCTCGGATAACGTGGCTGGAGTAGACAACTTGAAGTGTTTTTGTATATGGATTAAAATAGCTCAAAAACAAAAAATCGGACCTGTATATTTTTAGAGAAGGAATTTTTTATCATTCCATCCTCTTTGTAATGAGCTAATATTCAAAATTGCATCTTAACGCGAGACCATGTTAAACGAATAGTCCGTTGTACAGACCCCTTTTTATCAAATTATTAACATCCGGCTGAAACTTTGTACATAGCTTCGTCTCTTCGTAACCTAAAAATATTTTGTATTTAAGAAAATTCTCGGAATCGAGACGTTTTCAATCTGGAGGGGGGCAAACTTAGTCTATTTAATTAGGTACTAAAAACTGGTAAATACCCATTCGCTCTCAACTTGAATTGTAAGGTAATTTACAAAAAGTCGTGAAAAAAAGTGGTCTTCAAAAATATTGAACTATACCTCCATATTTTCAAAATAAAGAGGTTACATATGCCAAACGGCACAATATTTTTGTAGGTCACCCTTAATCGACTTTGTTATCAAATTATATTACGATTCAAGTGGAAAGTGATTGGGTATTTACGAGTTTTTAGTACATAATTAAGTGGACGAAGTTTGCCGATCTCTAGATTGAAAACGCTCAAATTCCGAGAATTTTCGTAAATAAAATATTTGTAGGCTGCGATGACATAAACCTATTTACGAATTTTTAGCTGGACGTTAATGATTTCATAAAAAGGGGTCTGTACCCCTTTTCTGTCAAAGAAGATATTTTTACGTCTGTCAAAGAAGATATTAGGATTAAAATATTTGAGAAACTAAAAAATCGTAACTGCATACTGTAAGCGAGGGAAATGTTCAGCATTTTCTTTTCTTTATAATGAGCTAATATTTATAATTTTGATTTCATATCAATCTCGGCTTTTTGATTTTTAACTTCTATCTTGTGATTTCAAGAACACCCTTTCTTTATTTTTTTTTTTACAAACTATACAACATAAAAAATACAGAATATACAAAAGACGTGCAGCAAATAAATATTCAAAAATTAATCGGATTGTTCACAACACTTAGTTAACAAGAGGTCTTTCTCTGTCAGATCCATCTGAGTCTAAAAAAGAAGCACGCCATTGTCTGCTGCAATATTTTTTTCTCGATAGTTATTTGAAAATTTAAACCATTTTTTAATTTTTTTTTGCCTGTAGAGCAGTTGAATTCATCCGTTGGTGAATACCAGCATAAATTGATTTGCTTATGCTAATTCTTATTAATTTTTTTTCATAGCACATGAATATTATTGATCGTGAGTGTTTTTATCTTATCTTCTAACATTTATTTCGGATAAAAAAGCCGTATATTGTTAGCGAGAGAAATATTCATCATTTCATCCTCTTTGTAGTGAGCTATTATTCAAAATTTTATCTTAAGGCTAGGCCATGTTAGAGAGGATAAAAAGGGAAAAATAGTGTCAAAAACCAAATGATAACATTTATTGAAGACATGGATTAAAAAGCTTCACTGTCTACGAAGCACTAAGGGCCAAACTGCTGAGGGAAACATGTTTCTACCTTTTGCCAGAGAGCGATTTGATACCTAGATTGGTTCCTACTCCAGGAACAGCCGCCAGAAACAAAAGAGGCAGAAGAAGGTACTTAATAGTTTTTCTACCAGCATTTATTTTGTAACGAAGGTGTGTGTTATAGTCCGTGGCACAGACCCCTTTTTCAAATTATTAACATCCGCCTGAAACTTCGTAAATAGCTTCATTTCATTGTAACCTACGAATATTTTATTTACGAAAATTTGGATAGGATAATGGTCGCTACCGAATCACTCCAAAAGGACCCCAATGCTATTAAAAACTTAATATTGTTCCTTAAGGAAATCAAAATATTTAACAAAATTTAATCACACCTTGTAATTGTAAATGTTAGTTTTTTAAGTTTGTAGGTTCCTCTTTAAGTTGTAAATATACCTGTTATTTTTTTTTCTTTTAATCATAATTTTTAACTATAATGGTTTTTCAATTTTTTCTTCTTGTAATTTTTGATATTTAAATTGTACTTCCTAACTTTTCTTCTTTTAATATTAATTTTGTTTTTTAAACTGTATTTTTAGATTATATTCCTGAAATCATTAACCTTTTATTTAAATATCCTTGTTAACTGTTAACTTATCTTTCTCTAATCTTTAATTTTAATGGTGCTTGTACTTTCTAATGTTTAAACTATATTCTTTAACTTCGCCTCTATTGGTATTAATTTTTATTATTTAAAAATGTATTTTTTAGCTTTTATTTTTAATATCATTAATCTTTATTTTTATTGCCCCTGTTATCTTTTCTTCTATTAAATCTTTAAGTTTTAGTTCAATTGTAATATCATAATCATCTGTAATTATTCTTAACTTTTCAAACTTTAAATTGTATTTCTTAGCTACAGTTGAGTTATATGTGTAGTAATTCATCAAATTATAATATAGGGCGAAAATGACCCAAGTGGTTGAAGAGCCCAAAACATGTATAAATAAATAAAATTTACGAAAATAAAATATTTGGGAATTGGTGAATTGGGATCGTTTTCAATCTGGAACTCGGCAAACTTTGTCTATTTATTTAAACACTAAAACCTTGTAAATACCTAATTGCTTTCAATTTGGATCATAAGATAATTTGATTACAAAATCAATAAAAAATATGGCCTACAAAAATATTCAACCGTTTAGCCTATATAAACTCGTTATTTTGACAATTTGGGGGTTTATGGTCACGCCAAACGGCTCAATATTTTTGAAGGCCATCGTTTTTGTCGACTTTTTGATCAAGTTATCTTACGATTCAAGTGTAAAGAACTCGTAAATAACGAGATTTTAGTACCTAATTAAATAGACAAAGTTTGGAAAATATTTGCAGATTACTATTAAAGCTATTTACATAGATTCAGGCGGATGTTAATAATTTGATCAAAACTATTGGTTTTCGAAACTATTTTTTTTCATTTCATCTCTCTAACACGTCATTGCGTTAATATACAATTTTGAATATTAGCTCATTACAAAGAGGATGGAATGATAAAAATTTCCTTCTCTAACAATATATAGGTCCGATTTTTAGTTTTTGAGATATTTTAATCAATATGGAAAAACTATTGCATCTCACTGCTGCAAATACCCGTATTGCCTAACGGACTCGATAGAGTAGTAAATAGATCAAAACACAATAAAAGTTAGATATATAAATTTTTACGTATGTATGTTTAGAAATTTCTCAGACATGCCTGAGAATATTTCATCAATAAATAAACTTCTATTTTGTAACATCCAACATGTGACAAAAATATCTGTCATTTGTTTATTAAAATTTATCATTTTATTGTCAGCTTCAAATTACTCTCTGGACTGGACGCAACTGAAGAAGTTCCTCAGAGCGACTTCTTCAGGGATCGTGCTTGACATGGATGTAGAGGACCACTGGTACATCGTCGTCCCTGCGGACACGAAGCCATCTGCCGAAGAATCTCCTATATCCGGGACCTGGAGGGGGTTGGGAACCGGCGGTGGTACTGGAGATGTAGAGGAGATAAACACCTGCGAAGAAACCGATAGTCAAAGCGAGTCTCTTGTACGAACTGTTCCAAAACGGCATTCCTTTCGTCAGCTCTTTTCTTCCATTATCTTCCTTCAGATAATAACCTAATTCATACACTACAATCTGTCACAGATAAAATATTTTTTTTTATTTATCAGTAAACTATATTAAAACTTTTATTATTTTATTTTATTTTTGATTTTTATTAAAAACTAAAAGTATTGCTATAACATTCAATAAAATGTTCAAAAAGTTAACAGCTGGAACAACACTAGTATGTAAACTAAGTTTACATGGTTCATGTTAAAATCTACTTTTATAAAATTATCTACAAGATTGTTTCATTAATAAATAGTTCAGAAATTTAAATAGAATTTAAGATCAATTGATCCAGAGAAATAATAAGTTAATGAAATGTACATATCATTAGAGGAACATTGATTTTAAATAACAAAATTCTTTGACGTAATATCTGAGGGAGTACAATCATTTATGTAACGTCTTGCATGATAGTAGTTAAGTGTATTTTTATTTATTTATTGGTTTATAAACATCGTAGCCATGGAGTCTGGCCTAATCAATGTTAGTTTTAGTTAGTCTGTAAACAATAGGTACAATATAAAACATGATGTAATACATGAGGACAATATAACAAGGAAAAAAGATAAATACATTAATATAAAACATATTGTTCAGATCAATATAAACTTAGTTTCACTGTAGATTCACCAACAAAATAAACTTAATTAAAACAGAAAAAAAATTACAAATTTTATAAGAAACAGTGATACATAAACTTAAATATACTTCTTTAGGTCACAATAATGCGATGTATTTGTTGGCATTTTAACGGGTAAGAAAATATGCGTTATATTTATATGATATACTAAAACACGAATAATCATTAGTCTTAAAGTTACTGGTTATTAAGTAAACTATGTGAGTCAAAAGTATGAACAATAAAGTAAAACTGAATATTTAATAGTTGACCGTTCCATTCTAAAGGAAGGAGATGGTCCGGTATGACGGTCATAAATAGGCTAAATATTGGAAAAATTATTTTATTTAAAGCCAACGTTTCGACCCGACTTTGCAGGTCTTCTTCAGAGCTAGAACGGACAAGATGCAAAAAGATAGAGAATTGTGGAAGTTACATAATAAGTTAAGTAACAATGTGATAAGATATGTCTTGTCCGTCCTAGCCCTGAAGAAGACCTGCAAAGTCGTGTTGAAACGTTGGCTTTTAATAAAATAGTTTTGCCACTATTTAGCCTATTTATGACCGCCACCCCGGACCATCTCCTTCTTTTAATAAAGTAAAACATATCGTTCAAGTGTTCAAGGCTTTTAATATCTAAAACTCTCACCAACGATAAGTCATCCGTGCCCGCATTGATGTATTTACCGAGATATCTCTTTCTATGAATCTCACCAAACGAACATTCAAGAAACAAATGCTTTATGCCATTAGTGACCGCACCACTTACAAACTTATTCAGCCCTTACAACATGGGCGATATTTTCATGATACAGCGACATGTGATCATTGCTCGAAACTCTCAGAGGATCCACTGTTCGCAGCTTTCGTAGAGAGGCAATAAATTTATGGTAGTTTTCCGGTTATAGGTTGTTATAACAACAGATTCGCCTACAGATGTAACTATATTTTGAATTAAAGGGGCGATCAATGTCTTTAGTATACAAGTTATTAGATACACCTGTTTTTATTCTTTATTTATTATTTACTAGTTTTTTGGTCTTTATTCATATCATTGGATTAGAGAAATTAGAGAAGTACTCTTGAACGAAATTATAAGCGACTAACTTTTTAACTTGTGATATCCAGTTGAATTGAAGATTAGGCTGCCAAATGTCCATAGCCAGAAGATTTTGCTAACACATTCGCGGAAGTCGATGATCTGGCAATGGAGATATTTTTGTGCAAATATTTTAGTTAAGTGAGTAGTCAGATGTTAAAAAAAGTTACCTAAAATCTACACTATAAATAATACGGCAGTCCACATATATAGATATACTATTTTCCAGTTCTCAGGAGCGGTGATTTTTAAGAATGGGAATTTCATGAAGAAATTGGCAAATTGGAACATGAAAGCTTATTAACGACAATAAAGTCATTGAAAATTTGATAGGTTTCCTAACTCGGATGTTTACGATGTCCGAAAACTTTAAAACGAGGTTTGTCCCAACATTATCCATCGACCTAACGTCGGAATCTTAAAACAATCTTATTTTTACAAAACTTGACTAAAATAAGACCTATTTGGACTTACGGAGTTGAGCTATGGGGCTCCACTGAACCATCGAATTCCTCTCGCATCCAATCCAAAATCCTTCGTAAAATCCTCAATGCTCCTTACTTTGTCACTAACGAAATTATCCATAAAGATCTTAATGTTCCTTATGTTTCAGATCTGGCCCAATCCAGGTACCTATACTTCCATAATAAACTTCAGAATCATCCCAACCCTCTCGTTTCTAACCTTGGTTCCTCTTCAATTCCTGATAACCCTCCGAGGCGTCTGAAAAGAAGATGGCACCGTGATCTCCTAATGTAGTCATATCATTAGAGTGCTACCATTGGGTAGTTACTCAGCAAGTGTATTCATGTCATTATATCTATTATGTTCAAATTTACTTGATGTATTTATGTAATTGTCAGTTGTAAATGTCATTAAGAAATAAAAAAAATTACAATGACTTTTATTAAATTTATAGTAGGAATTTAAGGGTCGTCACTACTCCATGAAATTCTCTTTTTGTAGATACCTCATTCATCTAAATCTATCGTTCCATCGCTCCTATTCACGATCGCAATACTTTTCTTTACTATATATTTCATATATAAATAAGTGAAAGAAAAAATTAATTACATTGTTATTCGAACCGACAGGCAATATGTTAGAGTAGGAAAACACTAATATCAATGATTAAATGGAAAACAAGGATGTATAGAATGATATTTAAAAATGTTTAATGTCAAATAATTACTGATTCCAAAAATATTAAACCAATGTTATTAAACTTTTTTTATTCTTTTCTTTAGAACTTCTAAATACATTTAAAGCAATATCTTCAAAAATATTTTTGACATGGGTGGTGCCTGTTTTATATCTACAACCTGGATCAATATCGTTTCTGATATAACATTATTATTGTTAGTGTTGAGTTGTAGAAGGTGAAAAGCGGAGTTGGTTGACATAATGGTTAGGCTGGTAAATGCTTTTTATTCTGACCAACAATAGCTTCAGAGTCCCAGCTCCTCTCTAAGTCACCTCTTACAGGTTGCTATTACAAAGTGCGAGGTAGATTTATAGATTTTTTTTTTTAAATATAAGTTAATGTTTCCTTCTATAAAATTCGAAAATAAAATAATCCATCCATTTTAGCAGTCCCATTTTTATTATTTTATTATAAATCTCCTTACAGAAGGCATTTTCAACTTATATCTGCTTTAGATCTGGTTCCTCAACAATATATATACATCAATTAATTAATTATATTTATCAACCTTATACATTAAATTTATACATATTAAAGCAATGTAAATATTATTTTTTTCTTGAAAATACAAAGACAGTGGAAACTTCTTCTTATAGAGTTATAGAGGAGAAGATCTTACAGAGTACAAAATACATTCAGATGTTAATTTTTTTTATTTTTATAAGATTACTTGTTGTCCCTATATAATTTTTTTCAATACAGAAATCTTATTATCATTTGTATACAGTCTTTTACGGCTGTTGTTTTTTTTAACTGCCCCAACCATTTTTTTTTCTTTTGTTATCTATAGCATAAGGAAGGGTGAGGGTTGTTCTAGAACAAAAACTAAGCCTATTTTAACCAGAGAGGAAAAATCAAAATTCAGGAACTGTCAATAATAATTAATAATTTTTATGAGTACCTTCTTTCTCAAGCGCATAGCAACATTTGTGTTTCTTTCTCATATATAGTTTAGATGTAATTATTCATTAGTAGTTGCAATTAACATCATTCAAAGATAATAAAAAGTTAAATAAATGATGACAAATAATAAATAAATTTCTTTATACGAAATGTATTGGTTCATAGCTGACTATGATGTGAGGACAAAGTTGAAACAATGATTTCTCAGAGAATATTTAAATTTGCATTTATTCTCTCTTCTAATAGAGCATAGAAAGGTTGTTAAATATTTTTTATTATTATTTTTATAATTTCATTCATTGGGGTACGGTTAATTTAAAAATAAACATTTATTGAATTCATGAGTACCTTATTTTTTAATAACTGAGAAGCTTTCTCGTTATTTTCTCAAATATTTGTAAATACTTAAGTTCTTATAAACAACAATAGACTTGAGTTATATCTGAATTACTATAATTGTTACGAAGTGCATCGGTACACAGCTGACACTATTCTGAGGTGGCGATGCAGCATGGCAGTGTTACCACCACTCATTAATAAATAATAGTATCATAATTTTTTTTCAATATCGTTACTCGCGCTCGATGAAAAATTATAGAAAAGCATATAAATGTTTAAAGATTTTTTAAAAATAACATTATTCAAGTATATGAAATTAACTCGAAGTCATATGAATAAAATGATAGAAGAAATTGATATTATACTTGAAGAAGAGATATTAATACTTGTAAGATGGTATAAGTACAATAATGACAAAAAGTTTATAATTTTCATAATACATGGGCCAAGTTCATTAATTCAGCGCTGAACTCATCGTTTTAAAATGGGCGAAAAGATGTCACCGATGAGTTTAGGAACTTGGTCATATGTGTATATATATATATATATATAGGTATATTATTTTTTTTATGCATATCTATGAATTTGGTTGGTACTCATATATATATATATATATTATATATATATATATATATATATATATATATATATATATATATATATATATATATATATATATATATATATATATTCTGATCAGCTGTTTGATCATAACTTCCTTTTTATTACCTCACCTTCCTTTCAGTATACGATTGGATGTCATGGAATGATGAGATCTTTGGTTTCTTTTCTGTCCGGACGATGCTTAAATTGCCGAAAAGTTCAGGGGTTGTTAATCAATCAAATTATTTCTACCTGAATTTTAGCGACACAAAATTGTTTAGTTAGAAATTTTCAATTATAAACTATCATCTACCATCTCTCAGCTAGGTTTTACTCTTTTACATTAATGTAATCCTTACTAGAAAATTGTGTTCCTACTACAGATAATTGAAATAAGCTGTTATAAACAAAAATAAACTTCTTAGTGTAATAGCCTCAGTGCTTCTTGAATATCCTTTTTTGGGTGTCCTTTAGATGTATGTTGGGAGTCCTTACTTATATCAAGCCTGTCTTCGTCCGTTTTACAGATCGTCCTTATACTCGTACAAAAT